TATTGAACTATGTGGAAATTAACTGAATGTGTGACCTCAAATCCTCATTTCAAGCCTTTTTACGAAGTCTGACTGAGTTTTCAAGCTGCTGTTCAGCAAAAAATGGAAATACAGGTTTAGAGGCCCAGCACAACTGAGCTCTGTGTTCATCAGTCATTTAATGTACACCAAATGATCTTTGTGGTTCAAGATAATTTTATGCAAAGCTAAGCAAGGCCCTCACTGTTTTTGCTGACTTGCAGTAAGCCAGTGGGATGCCAGGCTGCCACCATCAGAACATCTGCTTCATTGGAAAAGTATTGCAGCAGGCCATGCCTTGTAATAAATGATATGACCCTGCAAGGCCGACAGCAGCACTCCTGTGGGCAAACAGCTTGCCAAAGGTCGAAGCCATCCAATGCTTTGGGACCAGCAACATAATTTCTGTCCACTCCACCCCTACCCAGAGTCTTAGAGCTGCAATGGATAAGTGAAAAAATACATCACTGAAAATATATCTTCTGCCAGTAAAGAACAAGAGAAGGGAGGGAAAGAAAGGAAAGCAGAAGAGAATGTGAATCCAGCTGTGAAGCTATTTACTCTGCCACTGAAAACAAAGCTATTCCCAGAAGCACCACTTAGTTTGCCTCAGTCAGAACTTGGGGTAGCAAAATGTGTGATATAAACTATTTCAGTTATGAAACAGATTAGAGAGTGCTTATACAAACAGCCTCATTAGCACAGATACCTGTCCATTTTAATTTACAGTCTTTCCCAGAACAGTCCCTGACCTTCTTTCTTTTCTTTTTTTTCAAGAAGTCACTAATTTTCTTTCATCTTTTAGACTATGAATTCTCCTAAAACACAAACCACAACTGCTTTTGTAAACTCTTTGCTCAATTCACAATGCAACATCAAGAAAACCCCAGTGAAGTAAAACAGTGCAAACATTTCAATTTTATTAACAATATAAACAGCATCAAAAAGATTTGGGATCCTGTTCATCTACCTGTGACATTAGTAGTCAGTGGATGCTCTGTTGCTACAAATAGAGAAAGGTCTTGTTCCATTGTTATTGCTATTGCCTTTTGAAGTGAAATGACAGTGGCACTCTTTTGAATGGCAGCATTTTACAGCAATTTAACTTGCTGCCTAAAGAAGGCAAATTGGCATGAAAATTATCTGGAAAGCACAATCACATATACACCGAATTTTTGTAGATAGATAGGTAGATAAATAGGTTGATAAAGATATATGAACACACACATACATACACACACATATATGCTGTTTTTTCAGTGCAGGCATGACATACAGCACACCAAAGGCCATAGGGATGAAAAATAAATTACTTGGCAAGATAATTTTCTAAAGTAATTTCACAGAAAAGGAACCATTTCCTAAAAAAGCCTACCATAACCCTCCAACATGTTCTTTGATGAGCACTGCAGCTGATTTCTACCTTCAATCTTATTTACCTTCCATGAAAGCACTACTGAGGACCTAATGAAGAAGGCTGGGTAGTTCTGGCACTATTGGATTTTTTCTTATTTATTTATTAGACATGAGAGCTGTTATCAGCAAGCAGTCAGGTGAGTAAAATCAGACAAAGCATTATCTGATTCCTGTGCTGTAAATCAGATTTTAATAGAGAAAAGATCTGTGTCCCTTTGGGAATAGAAAGAATATGTTTATAATGTGTTCTGAGTATGTGCTACACAATAGCAAGTATGAATAAAAATATTTTCTCCAATCAATTTTCCACTTTCTTCTCCAAGTCCTTTCACCCATAAGATGAGAACTAAAATAAATGAAAATTATGTTTGTGACAAGTGCTAGCAAATAACAAAGATAAGCATGCATAAAAGCACGCATACATGCTGCATTCTTAAACAGACATTTAAAAAATACTGAATTCTGTAATATTAAAAGACATCATTGTTTCTCTGCTAGCAGAATAACTTACGCATTTCGTATTTATCTAATTCAGCCATTGAAATGAGACCTTTGGTAGCTTATTCTTAACCTCAATGCAGCTTTTGTCCTAGGTATTTATCCTTGTCTTTTTCTATTCAGAACCTACGAAGCATCATGACAGCACCTGTACACCAGACACAGATAACGTTTGACTACCTCTTAAAGGTTTTAGAAATTTTAATTGGCAGAGTAATCTAGATATGCTCAGGCAGAAATTGGTGTTAAACATCAAAAACCTTGATGCAAAGCCAGCTCTTTCTTGTAATGCAGTGTTGTTTGAATTTTGATTTGCTGGAAATTACTGTTTGCAAAAATGAGGGCCCCCCTGCCACCTAATGCATCACTGTTTGAACTAAAATGCTGAAATTGGTTTACTGCCCAGATACCTAAATATCCTGAGCTCAAAAATTACTTTTTAAAACCCAACTTGTTAGGTCACATCCAAGTAATTCCATAACAAACTAGAGGAACGGGACTTTCATGTCATGTTCGGCTTAAAAATTCCATTCCTTTTATGATTTACACATGAAAATGAGTTTATAACCACAAAAAATTATTCACTGAATAATTTACACTGAGGTTTACAAAGGTGTGTGCTCAGATTGCTGTTAGTGAATGAACAGGTAAAGCTCTGCCACTGCCAGTCATTAGCAGCAAGGTTGACATCCATATCACACTTCAGTTTCCTTTCTTATTATTCTATTTCTTCCCAGTTGATCCTTTGCTTCTCCATCCCAATTTACAGGAGGATTAATATTTTTTGAAGTAAATGCAAAACTACAGGCAGCATAAAAGTGAAGTAACACAATGGAAGTTAGTATCAAACTTTAACTATCAGAATGTAGATCCTAGTTATTAGGGAAAAAATCCAACCAAGTCACAACTAACCACATGCTGAATTGGAGATACTGGTGTCCCTTTTGGGAAATGTAACTGCGTTTTAAATTTTTTAATCAGTGTCTGGACAATAACCTAATTCAACTGTTGTTGTGCATTTGGATCAGTGAAAAGGTTAGCTCTAGTGATTTGGGCAAGAGAACAGTTTCAGGTTGTAATGACCTTGATGTCTAAGATAGATTGAGCCTCTTCAAGGAAGACCAGATAATTTTTTGGTTTTACATATATATCTGTGATTAATATGGAGAAATAAATGAAAGAACTACAACCTGGGAGAAACATGAGAACTGAAACTGAAAACAGCCTGTAATGGGATGCAATATACACATCACTTCAGAAAACACTGTAAAGGTCTGCTCTCTTTCCTCCTGGAAAATAACAGCAGCAGGGCAGGGAGAAGCAGAGATGAGGGTGTTAAGATGAAACAATCAGGAAACAGTTAACGTAAATAATTTTTTGTCCCGCAGAAAAAGAAGGAAAAAAAAAAAAAAAAAGATGAAATTAAGTGTATTAAAAGTCCCAGTAGGTCCGTATCTAGTTATGACCAATATTTAAGAAACTGATATCTTAACCCAACCCTAGAGAGAAAAAAATAATTGCTGCCATTTCATCTCCCCTCCGCATCCTCCTCTAGCTGGCACAGCTGACTTGCAATCCCATTCTCTTTAGCTTTAACAGATCAGGCAATCATAATTCAGTAGTAAAAAAGGAACAGACCAGACAGATCATCTTTAAAATTACCAACTTTCTAATGAGCACCTTGTAAATACGATGAAATCTATGGAAGTGAAAGCATTCTGTAATATCTGAAAAATGGCTTTTTCAACTAATAAAAATCAGAAGAAAGGGCTGCAACCTCATTGCATCTACCACATTTTGATCCACACAGAAGCATTTTGCAATACAACAGAGAATTCAGAGATGCTTCCTTCATTAACATGAGGCTGGTTTGAGCTTCTTGTACCTCATTCTGAAGGACAGAACATTTTCTGAGAAACAAGTACCTCAGTGCAATGGGTCACAGAAGTTGCTGGACAACAGGAGATGAGCAAATGAAAATTCAGTATCGTATATGTCAACTGTATTTAAATATACAAATGAAAATATCTGACTCTCTTTCAAACTAAGGGAATGTCTATTATGCAATATATTCAGCTCTTCCAATTCAGTTTAAAAGAGCAGAAATATTGCTAGCCAGACCGGTTTTCATCTGGAATTCTCCCACTATCCAAAACTAATGCAATACTTATATATTTTATCATTAATGAGCTACCAATGCCTACCACCACCTTAATTGCATATGCTCAAGCTCTCAGTGGAACCAGCAGATGTTCTGCTGGCTGGCACAGTGGGTCACACATTAATTCTTAGCCAGTGAAGGCACTGCACTGCAAACTGTGAGAACAGCATGCCCTTTTGCATGGAATAGCTTGAAAGCCTGGACATGTCAATAAGACTGAGACTAGAGCCTCTCAATTACTCCTTTGCTCCCACTTAAGTTTTAATGAATGTTCATTGAAAATATCCTCTTACTTTCCTATGTAAATACATCCCAAATGACTCAGTGTGAGAGGAAGAGGCAGGAGGATGAAAGTAGTTTCAATGTTTTTTGGGTCACAAAACCTCCTTTCTCTACAGAAAAATGTCCCTGGTTCTAGATCAAATGGACTCTTTTCCACTTTAAAGTAAGGAAAAGGATCTATTCATTCAGGGTTGAGAAACAGACAATATACATGAAGCGGTTCAGGCGAAGTGAGGTAGGCTTTGATAATCTGTATCCCGTTAGTATTTGTCTGTTGCAACTTTATGGCTTATAAGCAGGAGTTTAGATGCTCATGGCTTCTTCTCCCTGGAGGGAAATGTATCAAGATGGTAATGTATCACAACCTCAACAAATGTTCTGTTTGAAGAGCACAATGACTCCCAAATGGAAAATGTGTTTCTGCCTGTGAGATCTCAGGTTTAAACATACTGCTCTTGCTTCTTTTGTAAAAACCCCTTCATTTCTAGGAAAAAAAATGGCCTGGCAGGGATTCAGTGTCATGCTTCACCTTCAAACTTGTAAGGCTCTTCATCACTGGCGAAGCTGCTCTAAATGTAGGGTCAGGACCACACCAGTCCCACTGTCCCAGAGGCATCTCACTTACTGAGGTTCCACTTAAGGCCTGTCGTGGTCACACTCTCGCAGGGGTTCCCGATGGGGATGAGGCCACACCAGGAGCCCTCCAGTCCTGTGTCCACATGCAGCTGGTGCTTGCCCTGCAAGACAGAAGTGTTTCTGCAGTCAGTGCTTGCCCAAATGGCATTTGATCACAGACCTTGCAAACAAAACAGGAGGTACTTGGAGACAGGTCCAGAATGTCCCCCAAGGGCTCAGGAATATTTGGTTGCAGCAGGAAGTCAGGCCACTGATATTTACAGGAGGAGAGGTGCGTACTTAGGTTCTAGACCTTAGGGCTTTCAAAAGTTTGTTTCTAGGCTTTTCTAGCAGAATGTAGCTTTGCTCATTGTTCCCTGGCATTATTTGAATAGGCCGTTCTGTCAAACCTAGGCTCTTTGTTCCTGTGAAATGCTGGCATCCTGATTTATTCACTCATGTTTTCCTCATCTAAACAGTTGTGTTGCACTTCTTAAAAAGTGCTAGTCAAAGCACCACTGAAGCGCTTCAATTATTTTGACAACATATGTAAAATTTCATATATTTCTACAGGATGGACCTTACCCAGGAGGAGGAATACATGCAGAAATTTAACTAGGCACTAGAGAAATTAGCCTAAATATTTAGAGTAACCTGCTTACACTAAATAATGAAGAAAACCACCAAACATTTTTTTTTTGCATCCAAGATAAATTTATCTAGTAACTAAAACATCCATGGGATGCAGGAGAAGAAACAGCTATTAATGATGATGTATTTGTGATAAATCTCTTAATTAGCACTTACAGCTCCTGTGTGAACATCCCATGAACAGTTACAAGGAAGAGTAGATAGTGGAAATCTTTAACAGAATGAAAAGTGCTGCGTGTTACAGTTCTAGCACAATCTGTGTTCTAAGAAACTAAGATATTGTTTATGGAAACTAGCTACAAGAAAGCAGCAAATGAAAAGTAGTGACAAGATCAGTGGAGAAATAATCCTCTGGTCTCTTCTGCACAGATAATTTTTTCCTTCAAATAAGACTGGGCTTCATGTAGGAGAAGCTTCTTTGAATTGGAGGATTTTTGTTTCATTTTATTTTATTATTTTGTGGATGCAGACAAGCAAAACTCTTGAACATGTCTTTTACACACAAATTCTTCATCACTATAAATAAAATCAGATATGCCTATTTATAAATATACAGACTCTGAAGCCCTATGACTATTCAGTGAACACTTCATTAAGAAACCATGGTTTTATACCGAAAGAAATGAAGAACAGTTGAACCATAAAAGTCAACTAAATGTCCCAAGCAGCAAAAATAGTCCCACAGATTTTCTTAGGAGAATGCATTTAGGCTTTTTTCTCCTGCTCTGTCCTATACTCATTTCACATGCTCTTGCAAATACAAAGTCATTAGTTAGAAAGTCAAAACTGCAGGTGAAATATCTTATTGCTGAGACACCGATGTCTGAGGCATTCAACAGCTTTTCCTGTTAATGCCAAATGCATTATGAAGAAACAACTTCAATACATGTCATGCTCTCAGTTAACAAATGAACCTTGGAAAAGCTGTCAATTAGGGAATATCAGATTGCATAGCTTAAGTCTATTTGATTGTTTGCAGAGCAACAAGAAAACCAATCCAATATTATCTGTCTTCTCAGGGTGTCCAGCTTCACATGGTGATGAGCCATGTATATGTGTAGTGGTTGTGAAGGCTTGCCTGCCAAATTCAGAGATGCAACAAATTCAGTCTTGATAAGCTTTTAGCTATGCAATATTCCATGCCACCTCTCTCTCACAGCATGGAGGGAGGAGGAAAGGAAGAGGAGAGCTGCAAGCAACAAGCTCTCTCATTGTGCAGTTACAGATATTGTCGATAATGAAGCTGATGATGAGTGAGAGATGAAGGGGTGGGACTGAGCCCAATGAACATACATGTTGCTGCTCAGAGCTACTGGAGGAGAGGAGGAAACTCACCATATTAATCAATCAGTAAAGGAATATGAAAAGCAGATAAGAAAGTAGCTGGCCCCACAGAGAATCTGATGAAGTTCCATATTCTCAAAGTCTGTGTCTAATTACTACCAGGTTTGCATTTCCTATTTTATGACATTCTGGCCCAGCTTGCAGATAGGGAATCAATTCAGTAGAAATTTATGCAGAAAGCTGTCTTTCTGTGCTCATGAAATAAATCTTTAAAACAAAAGATGCCAACACCAGAGGCTCACCAATATCTAGGATTTTATCAGGAGTCTTTCAAAATCTGATACTTCACAAAAATCCCTGTTCACATGTTCCAGTGATTCTGTGAGCACAATGATTTTCTTCCCTAAAAGGACATTTTCTGTCACTCAGTTACAGTGATACAATTACAGCTAACTCAGTTGTTAAGAGAAATTTCAAATAGGGAGGCCAAATGGCTAAACCCAAGTCAGCAGGCAAACTTATGTTTTACAAATTGGTTCAATAATATAACAGAAGTCAGTTTCTAAGGCTTTTCTTTAAATAAATCAATAAGGGATCTTAATATTACTGGGGATAGTGGGAGCAGAAAAGGGAAATGAATGTTGGGAAAAAAATAAGCAAACAAATTACAAATAACCCACTCATTTTTGCCAAAAACATTAATCAGCCAGTGCATTTGTACAGTAAAGCTCAAAATTCAAAGCACTGTGAACCTGCCATGAGGGAAATTCAGTTCCAAAGCTTATCTCAAATTTTTTAAGTACAGATCTCTCAACCAAGCAAGATGGAACTGATATTTGCAGGAGGAAGGGAGGATCAGAGCTTGTAATTTGCAAATACAAGTAATAATTTGTTCTATTTAAGTCTGTGTGATTAAAGGAATAATTATATACTGTCACTTAAAATATCGAACTGTTTCCACTTTCTGCAGAACTCAAATTTCCAAAACTAGGTTTAAAAAGAAAACTGAACTTTGACTAAATAAATTCCTCTTTATATTTTTTTGCCTCTGTAGGAGGTAACTGAAATATTTTCACATTTAAGTTAAGAATCAAATATTACCATGTTTGAATGTTCCTGGTGATGAAAGAATGACAAATAATACAGCCACATTGATTTTTATCTTATTAAGTCAGTTTTGAAAAACATTGATCAATCTTCAGCATTGATTTTTTTCCTTCATTTTGTTTTGATGCGGGAAAATAAGATCAATTTTTTGAGTTCAGCAATAAGAAGAAAATGTCAGAAGATATTTTTAAGAATGCTTTATCTGCATAGGTTAAACTTTTCCTTTTGATTTAATGCCTTGTGTTATAAGAAAGCATTTAAGGAATAGTGGTTAAATATACACCCACTCCAACACTCTTTTTTGCTGAGGAAAGACCTAAAGACATAGTTGTTATTTGCCACATCTAGCTGAAATGAATAGAAGTCTGATTGCCAGGAATTCATCCACCTAACCCCATTCAAGGTTGTGAGATGCTAAAATCCTTAGTCAAAAATCTGCAAGCTGAATGCACATGAACAGCATCAAGACAAAAGTGGTAGCTTCCCTACGTGCATGGATAGCCAGGTACAGAGAAAATTACTTCTCCAAGTGCTTTTCAGAGCATCTTGAATAGATGTGTTGCAATAATGTACACTCTAAAATAGATATCAAGGAACAAAATGTTATAAAAGAGAGACAGAATGGGAACTAATCTTCAGTAATGCATTCTGAAGGGATCTGAAGGAGGGAAACCTGGAACTTGTCAGGCTGAAGCTAAACACTGAGGAGAGGCATAAAGTCAGTTAATAAGATGATGGAGAAGGATAAGGAATTAAAATCAAGCTTTGAAAAACAAATTAGGAAAGATATAGTAAACAGATCTTAGAAACTGCTAAATAACTAGGACATGTGAAAGGTAACGGGAAAGGAAAATAAAAAAAAAAAGTTACCAGATTGAAGGACAAAGTAAACTTAGTCTGATTTAAAGGAATCAACTGAATAATTTCATTACTGGAAATCACGGATTTTCTAAAAGGTGTACTTTCACCTAGGCTTGCTGTGAGATCTGGGACAGAGAAACAAGATTTCTTGAGATGTGGCCATCTGCTCTGTGATACCTCCTCCACTATCTAGATGTTGTTTTCCATGATCTTCTGATAAAACATCTTTTTTATACCAGCTTTATTTCTATGATTACTCCATAGATGGCAGCACACACTTGAAAGCAACAACAGCAGCAAAAAACTAAATTCAGATGTCACAGTGTTACCCAGGGAAAAGGCAAAACCCACAATCTGTTTCAGTACATAAACACCTGGGTGCAGAAAATGGTATACAGAAAAAAGACTTAGGGAATGGGTGGAAATCAACACAATCACCAAAGACAGCAGCAGAGGAGAGGAAGAGAATAGGAACAAGGATGAAACAAGCCTGAGAATATTTACGTTTAAAATCAAATATGACTGGCAAGAAAATAAAAATAAAATTCCAGAAATATTTCTACTAATATTAGTTGTATAAGAGCTTGACTTAACAATAATAAGCTTTTAGGCTGAGATTCTGAGCAAGACAAATACAGCCAATTTTTCTAAAAGGATGTTCTTAAGAAGAGCCGTTTTGTTATAACCCTAAAATATCATCAATTGTCTTTTCACACAAAAACACACAGTGCCAAGTAGCTATTATGTGAACACTATTCAAAGAATGTTTTCTGAGGCAACCAGGCTTTTGGTTGTTGTTTAAAATAAAAGTATCCACAGTTCCAGCAAAATTTCATATGTCTAAAAGCTCTCATATATTGTATCAATGACTGCTTAAACACATAGAGAAAAAACAGCAAATTTATTATACTTCAAAATAATATTGAAAACTGTTGGACCCAATCCTGCCAATCCCTACTATCAAAGTTTAGATTTTTCTTATGCTGAAATGCATAGACTTCAGTGTATCAGTTATTTGCAAGACAGAGCCCTACCAAGGCTACCCTTCAAGAGGAGCACTTAATAAAAAAATGACTTTACAGTGAATAAAATCCCGGGTAGGAAAGACAGAATATATTATAATCATTATTAGACCCAATTAATGAACACATTTGTTTCAAAGCAATTTATGATAAGGGTACAGAAGGAAATCCCCATGGAGATGAGTGCCAGTAAACTG